CTTCCCTTCCCTTTCCTTTTAGTCTCCAAACTGAGGACAAACAAACTCATCTTGACTTTGTATCCCTGCCAAGGGTCACACTTGAGAGAACAAGCAATGGCAGAGCATGCAAAGTAGTCAGGGCAAAATTAAAAATTCAGATTTGACCCACATATGCTGAGCCCACAGGACACTTTAAGGCTTGATTAGAAAACTACTTTATGGTTCAGTGAGATTTCTAGGAGAGCCGGTATGGTGAAGGCATTGAAGTGGGACTGGGAAGACACAGATTGAAGGCCCCATTTGTCCTTTCCATGGGCAATTTGGAGGCAGTCATTCCCTCTTAGGCTACTCTACCTTGCAGGCTTGTTGTGGGATTCAAATAAGAGGAGTCTTGCCCCATCTAATTATATCCCAGGTAGGATGTAATTATACTTGGAAATAAAATATAGCTCTCTCTATTTCCTGAGCTTAATGATATATCACCTACCATTTTCTAGAGGGGTGAGGTCATGCCTTAAGAAAGGAAAGTTCTGATAAAGGTTCTTTATTGCAAGATATGATGATCAGCTCTGAATATGCTTGGACCTTTAAGGCTGCATCTGGTCACTGGAACGAGACAATGTGAACCCTTCAGATCATTACAAGGATAAGATCTCTAAGCTACAGACTTTTCAAACATTCTACCCTCACAGGATCCTTTCCATATATTAATGACTAAGGGTTAAGTCCACAGAGTTGAATTTTAGGAAGTACACTCAGTTCACAGCAAACTGGTGTGGATTGGAAGCAAACGATGCCACCCCCAGAACAATGGCACATAGAGATAGTGATGGTATAATGCTAGTGCTGCCCTTACATCGTGTCCCAAAATCTGATTTCAGTATTAAATTCAGTATTATGGTATTCGTGTGATGATGTGATCACACTCACTTCATTATCTGCTCTGCCTTTCCATCCCCATGGAGAAGGAGAAGGAGAAGGAGAAGGAGAAGGAGAAGGAGAAGGAGAAGGAGAGAAGGATTAATACTGATACAGGGTGGAGATTTGTAAGTCTACCATATCTTCACACCAGCAACACTACTGGAATCCAGAATTGTTTTCTCTCTCTCTCTCCTGCCCTGATGAAAAGGGGTCATCAGAACTCTAATCCTACTTTTCAGGAGAAAATCTCTTCTTCCCAAGTCACAGAGCTAGAGCTGACTTACCCCCACCAGATGCTTCAGTACTGACAGAAACAGCATCACATTGGGAGGTCTGTGGCTCTGGGGCCATGGCCCAGAAAGGTCACCCTTTGCTTATCCCTCATTATGCCACAGTGATGCCCCTCCCATTATGACCATGTGTGCCCATAAGGACAGGTGTGTGCCCTCCAAAGTCTGAGACCCAGAGTCCTTCATATGTGCACAGAGGGGGCAAATGAAGCCACGCAGCCACACACCCCCTTGAAATAAAGCATGCACACGCTTTGTATACACAGCTGTGACCCCGGGAGGTGCATTTCTACCAGTAAACTCCTGGTTGAAGAAGAGATCTGTGCTTCCTTATAGCATCTGAAGAGTCGGTGTGGCACAATCATAGGACAACCAGGGTGGGGAATCCGGGCTCACTGCGAGATCGTTGAACGCTTCTTGCAGTCACAGCCAGTAAAAGAAGCATAGAACTGTAGTTTGGCAAGACAATAGACTGCTCTGCTTCCTTTGCTGGAGAATGGACACTGCATGTAGCAAAGGGGGTGATTTCCCTGCCTTTTGCTCGTGTGTGTGTGTTTGTCTTCTCTGTTCAGCTGCCTTTTCCACTGGCACCATTCCAGGTTGGGCTTGGCTTTGCCTTTTGAATCGATGGCAAATATTCAGCCTTTGATGACTAATATGCTGGTTTTTACTTTCTGACTCAAAAGCATAGATCCAATCCAAAGAAACATCCAAAAACCAAGAAAACCCCCGCTCTGGGATTGCTTGTTTAATTATGTATTAAATTTATATAGCTTCTCATCTCATCCAGGGGACTCTGGGTGGCACACAAGAATTAAAATAACAAAACCAAACAATCACAACAATTAAAAACAAAACCATTAAAATACGATTAAAACAGTTAAACCCATAATAAAACAAAAAACACGGGCAAGTGCATTCTGAACTTACAGAAAAATATAACCATTTAATATAACCATTTAGATCAGTGTTTCTCAACCTTGGGAACTTTAAGATGTATGGACTTCAACTCCATGCTGGCTGGGGAATTCTGGGAGTTGAAGTCCACACATCTTAAAGTTCCCAAGGTTGAGAAACACTGATTTAGATTATAGTTGCTGTCACAGGTTTTGGGGGGAGGGGTTTGAGGGTGGGTGGCAGCCAGCATGGAGTTGAAGTCCACACATCTTAAAGTTCCCAAGGTTGAGAAACACTGATTTAGATTATAGTTGCTGTCACAGGTTTTGGGGGGAGGGGTTTGAGGGTGGGTGGCAGCCAGCATGGAGTTGAAGTCCACACATCTTAAAGTTCCCAAAGTTGAGAAACACTGATTTAGATTATAGTTGCTGTCACAGGTTTTGGGGGGAGAGGTTTGAGGGTGGGTGGCGAAAAGCATATGCATGTAACTGGCAAGTGAGCTGAATTAGGCTTTGTTAGTATGATTTAAAAAAACCCCAAACCAAATGGAAACCAGATCCCAAAAGGGCAGTAGTGGCTGATAAGAACCATCCTGTTTGAAGGATCTGCAAATTTCATCAAGTTCAAAATGCACGGCTCCCTTCTAGGCAACACAACTTATTTGATGTCTATTTTTGGAAGGATCAAGACGACCAACTGTAGTGGATCATTGTTCTGACTCTTTTGGAGGAATTCCTGTGTCTGGATTCATCCGACTAGGCTAAAATAGATCTCGGTAGTTTGTAGCTCAGTGTACTATGAGGTCTTTGGGGTGCCCAGGGAGGGGTGGCACCTCTGGTGGAGGGACCTGCCATGCCCTTTTTAGGGTTGCTCATTCATCTTGGGTCCCCGCCTGGTGCTCAGCTCTCACCTGTGGCTCCAAATAGCTGTAACATGCACAGTGGCCACACCCGGTAAACCATCTTAGCAGACAGGCCAAACCAGGTGAGGGTAACTGACGGGTCTTTGACCCTCCGTGAGGTAGAGAATTTGTCTATCCCAGCATGTGAAGTCTGGCCCTGGCAAATGGAGTGGAGGAGACCGATCAATGGTCCAACAGTCAGGAAGGCAGGCCCAGCAGGTATTGTGGAACACTAAAGGTATGACAAAACACTTAGATATCCTGGTCATCCACTGCGGCAGGCAAAGTCTCCAGACATAATGGTTCTCCAGGACACTGGATTCAGGTCTCTATAGCGAGAGAATGGGACTGCCTCTGGGCAACATCTGTTCCCCTTAAAACTCTATCACGCACAGGTTTCTGTTGGGCAATTCTTCTTCATCTGCAATTCATCTGCAATTCGAAGTCCACCATCAGCCACCCAAATTCACTGGGCTGACTTTGGGCCAGTCACTAGGTCTGAGCCCAACCTACCTCACAAGGCTGTTGTGGGGAGGAAAAATAGGAAGGAATTCTATGTATGCTGCCTTGAGTGCCTGGAGGAAAGGTGAGCTATAATCTAACAAATGAACGAATAAAGGAGGCAGATAGTGCTGCAAATTTATTTTAGCAATAGAAAGAATACAAGGGAGAGGGGTACAAACCCTTTCAATACACAAACCGCTCTTCATTCTGTTGCTATAGCTGATTTTCTCTATTCCTGGCTCACCTTCAGCACCGTAAAGAAAAAAAAAAGGAAAAAATCTCCTAATTCCTTTTAATATTAAAGATTTTATATTCGGTCTGGCTTTCTTTGTGAACTTGGCTCTTAAAATATTGATGTTTGCTGCCTTTTCACAATCCAAATGTGGGTTTTTGTTTGAGTGACAGCTAAACTGCCTCCAACACTGAACATGCCTGGTTTTGCCCTGTGAACTGATATTTGGGAACTGGCACTTTCTGGATCCTCACTGATAACAAGCTTTCTTTTGCCTTAGCCCTCTGTTTATTTGCACAGAAAAGAATGTTGCAATCAATAAAAATAACTAGTGCTAACCGGTCTTTTATGGACCCCCATTTCCCCAAAGCTGGCGACTTCCCTGCTTCCGTCACTGTTCCAGGGCATAAGTTAAGAATTGAAGCGGGGGTAGGAGATACCCCCTCAATCTAGCTCCATTTCAGTTTTTCTCACTCTGTACAACTGGCAAGTTCAGAGGGTGAGAACTGCTGTTTTCTTGCCTGGACCAGGTCTGAACTTGCTTCTCCCCCTCCCGGAGGCCAACTCCAAACAGCTGCCCAGGTAATCAGTAACTGAGCACCCAAGTCTCAAAGGTTTCTCCCCTTCTGTGCTTGAATACATTTGCTGAACCTGCACCTGTTTTTGCAGGAGAGAGCGATCTCCTGACCCCTGTCCTCCCCTTTCCCCCCCTCCTGCTCTAAGTAGTTCCTTTATTTTGGCGAGATGTCTTCGGCCTGTTTCATAGCCCACCACTGATGAAAGGCCTTCTGGATTCTCCCGTGTGGAAAATCCCAAAGACCCAAGGGAAACCAGAATCGGAACCCCAAGAGTGGGTTTGCCTGACATGCTCACCCCGATTGACTTAACCATGGTTAACTCGATTGACCCAATTTTCTGGATTTGCATGACAATTTGACGGTGTTCACATGAGAGGTTTACGGAGGTCCATTCAAGACAAACCTGCTGCATTCACACAACACACTAAGCCAGGTTAGTATTTAACATACGATGGGTTTTAGGGCTTAGGGCGTGGTGCAAAGAGAGCTGGCATGACTTGCTCATGCTGGTGGGACATCCTTCACAGAACAGCTTAACCCCGTCATTTCCTGTGACACCCTACTAAAATGCAGTTGGACAGTTTGTGGTTCGGTGCCCTGTCCAAACTCAGCCAATCACACTCTCTCTCTTTCACATACACACACATTCTAAGTGCGTGTGTGTGTTTTTAAGCAAAGCCTGACTCTTGCCTTTGTAACATTTGCATGAAAGCTGCAGGTTTTTTGTTTTTGTTTAGTTCAGCCCAAATTGCGGAGGAATCAGCTAATATTCTAGCTGATTAACTGGCCAAGGCTCTCTGCATGAGAGTCAACAGCTCCTTTGCTTATCAGACACAATTTGGTGTTGTGGTTAGGCAGTCCTGCTGTAGTTTGGGGAGGGCCCTGGCAGATCTGGAAAGAGCTAAGCAGGATGGGACCTGGTTAGTACTTGGATGGGACATCACCAGGAAATCCCAGGATGGTAGGCGAGGCCAGAAAGCTGAAACATCATCCTCAGAGAAGGAACACAAACTACAGGCATACCTTGGCGATATTGCGGGTTTGGTTCCAGACCACCGCAATAAAGCAAATATCACAATAAAGCGAGTCAAATGTTTGGGTTTCCCAGTGCATATAAAAGTCATCTTTACATTATCCTGTAGTTTATTAAGTGTACGACAGCATTATGTCTAAAAAAAACAACGTCCACACCATGATTAAAAATACTCTATTGCTAGAAAATGCTGATCGCCATCTGCTTCATAATAATGAAAAAGTTTGAAATGTTGTGAGAATGACCAAAATGTGACCCAGAGACACGAAGGGAGCAAATGCTGTTGGAAAAATGGTGCCGACAGACTTGCTCCAGGCAGGGTTGCGGCAAACCTTCAATTTGTCAAACAAAACCAAAAAAAACAAAATACAACACACACACCCCGCAATATCTGCGAAACGCAAAGCACAATAAAACGAGGTACGCCTGTACTTCTGTACGCGAGTGGGTACATAAAGCCACCAGGAGCTGAAGACTTTATCCTTGAGAGGGGACTGCAATTTGTTCAGGGGGTCTCAAACGGGTGTGAGTGTGTGTGTGTGTGGACTTGTGTGGCGATCGGCTCCTCCTCTTTCGCTCGCGCGAGGTTCTCGGCTCGCAGGTGCGCCCTCAGGTGCCCCGGACAATGGTCTCTTTGAGAAAGCAGCCGGGCTGAGCGGGCGGAGGGAGGGGGGGAGAAGAGCTGCTCGGGCGCTTCCCTCGCCAAGCGACGCCCCTCTAAGAAGGCACATTTCCAGGCGGCGGCGACTTCGCAGCCCCCTTGCATGGCGGGGGGGTCTTTGGAAGGAGAAAGCCGAGGTCCCCAAGAGGAGCCTGCTGGACTGGGACAAGGGCCCACGGCGAAGCATTCGGGTCCCAGCCCTTCCTCCCCCCCACGCCCCACCCCGCTGGCGCCCTCTCTCCCTCTCACTGCAGCCGCCTAACCTAGGCAACGGGACTCCTGGGCTTCTCGCCGGCTCTGCGAGGTCCGTCCGACGGCTCCCCCGCAGCTCGACCGCGCGTCGCTCGGAGGTCGAGGGCCCTGGAAGATGCCGGGCGCAGCAACGATGGAGACCCAAACGGCTCTGGTTGGGCCCTTCCAGCAGGGTGCTCGGCGCTGCAGGGATGAGATGCGCGATCGCTCCCTAATTTAGGAACCCTTAAAAAAAAAAATCTCTGTCCATCTGCGAAGGAAAGGCCAAGATCCCGGCCTTGGGTTCC